CAACTTCACTGTAAAACAAGTCACACCATAATTGATCCGTTCCTTGTCTCTCAGGTACATGCACATTGACTTTAAAGGAAACACCCCTAATTAGTTGCTTTTTATGACATGGGGTGGTGAGGGAATAGTGAGTCAGAGTCAGAGTCTAGTAATTCATCAGAGTCTAGTAATTGTTCTGCCCGTTCACAACATTTTCACACCTTCCAGTTGACTCGTCAAACTTCATCAAGCATTTGATGTCATCGTTAGCCTTCCCAGTTTTCTCAAAGGCTCAATTCAACTGCACAAGGTTTCATCCTGTGAGGTCGATCTTGCACCATAAAGCTGCTAGCCTCCTGTCGTTAGCATCACATTAAGCACTAACACTATAGCTCCAGGGACAATTTCCATGGATCTGTAAACATTGCATTCATGATTTAAAGCACTAACTCTGTAGCTCCAGGGACAATTTCCATGGATCTGTAAACATTGCATTCATGAGCCAAAGCATGCAGTCTATGATACAAATCCACACTCTTCACAGCATGAGACAACAGGTTACCTCTTTCTGTCCCAAGCAACCACCCATGAGCTTGTTACATTGCACTTGTTACATTATACTTTTCTCGGGTCTCTTTGCCCCACTCTGGTGCTACATTGATCCATTCTTACCTGAACTCTTATGATGTTATAGTTTTGATTTATTCTAAACCAAACATACTACTTTCAGTTCTTATGGTGTTATAGTTTTGATTTATTCTAAACCAAATATACTACTTTCAGTTCTTATGGTGATATAGTTTTAATTTATTCTAAACCAAATATACTACTTTCAGTTCTTATGGTGTTATAGTTTTGATTTATTCTAAACCAAATATACTACTTTCACTTCTTATGGTGTTATAGTTTTGATTTATTCTAAACCAAATATACTACTTTCAGTTCTTATGGTGTTATAGTTTTGATTTATTCTAAACCAAATATACTACTTTCAGTTCTTATGGTGTTATAGTTTTGATTTATTCTAAACCAAACATACTACTTTCAGTTCTTATGCTGTTATAGTTTTGATTTATTCTAAACCAAATACACTACTTTCAGTTCTTATGGTGTTATAGTTTTGATTTATTCTAAACCAAACATACTACTTTCAGTTCTTATAGTGTTATAGTTTTGATTTATTCTAAACCAAATATACTACTTTCAGTTCTTATGGTGTTATAGTTTTGATTTATTCTAAACCAAATATACTACTTTCAGTTCTTATAGTGTTATAGTTTTGATTTATTCTAAACCAAATATACTACTTTCAGTTCTTATGGTGTTATAGTTTTGATTTATTCTAAACCAAATATACTACTTTCAGTTCTTATGGTGTTATAGTTTTGATTTATTCTAAACCAAACATACTACTTTCAGTTCTTATGCTGTTATAGTTTTGATTTATTCTAAACCAAATATACTACTTTCAGTTCTTATGGTGTTATAGTTTTGATTTATTCTAAACCAAATATACTACTTTCAGTTCTTATAGTGTTATAGTTTTGATTTATTCTAAACCAAATATACTACTTTCAGTTCTTATGGTGTTATAGTTTTGATTTATTCTAAACCAAATATACTACTTTCAGTTCTTATGGTGTTATAGTTTTGATGTATTCTAAACCAAATATACTACTTTCAGTTCTTATGGTGTTATAGTTTTGATTTATTCTAAACCAAATATACTACTTTCAGTTCCTATGCTTTTATAGTTTTGATTTATTCTAAACCAAATATACTACTTTCAGTTCTTATGCTGTTATAGTTTTGATTTATTCTAAACCAAATATACTACTTTAAGTAAGTAAAGTACAGGACCATTTTCCGTGCCTTCAGGCGAATTAGGCATATAGGACTCATCATCATCACGTGTCATGTCAACTGGCATATCCACAGATCTCAGTCCCTTGTTCTCGGGATCAGTTTCGCCGATGATTTTCCTCCGTGACACCGTTGCAATCCATCTGTCACAATCTCTCTCGATCTGCCTCTCCCTCTCCTACCACTGATCTTCCCGGTCATCACAATATTCTCCAAAGCCTCCCCCCTCATCATATGACCAAAGAACAGTTCTTGTCTTCACCTTATATTGATATTTTTTTGTTCATTGGATTCTAACAAGCAATTCTTAATGGTTACTCTGGCAGTCCAAGTGATTCTCAATATTTATCCGATAAACCACATCTCCTTCGCTTTAAAGATCTTCCTAATTTATGCATTCACATTCCATGATTCACTACCACACAGCATTATAGGTTCTAGATAACATTTCTGCACTCTCTTTGGGAAACCCAGTCGGCACTCAGTGGGCGATGAGGTCAACATCACACCGGCCACATTTACTTCCCATGACATTACCTGGTACCCATTTAAGGCTGTCTCGCTGAGAGCAAGAAAAAAAATTTTTTTTGTTTTTAAATAGTCTGGCCCTGTCAGGAACAGAACCTGCGACTTTTGGATTTTCAGGCAAGCATCTAACCACTACATCAGGGCGGCTCCCTTAGTTAATGTAACAATCATAAAGATATCATCATTTCAAATAAAACTTGTCTGGAACTAAATGAGTCTAACCACAGAGACTCCAAAGTGCATTAAGCTATCATCCTTTGTTATGCACAGTGCTCTTTGAATACTACTCAATCCATTTATTTGTTAATCATCATCAACGCAGTACATTAAAACAAACACAGAAGAGAAGCAAACATCTCCAAAACCAAATACTATCAGACAAAACACTGGCAGATTTTCTTTGTCTTTTAAGAATTAACTTTCATTGTCATTTACATCATCAACATATAAACCTGACACTCAAAAACTAATAATAAGCATTACACACACATACATTTTAAAGATACAGTTGTAACACTTCATCTTACAAGGTAGGGCAAATGAATTCTTGTTTGATCACATGCTGACCTCATGTGCTATGTTTCTTTATTTCTAGAACATTACATCTTCAGTTCCATCCCAATGACATGATTCTACTGTCTGGATCTGTGTCTATTTCTATTATTATGCTGTTTTTCTCATCAATTCTGTCTGTTCTGTTTCTTCCAATGTTTGGTTTCTCTTTCTCTAGTTCTTCCTGGGCTGTTTCAGTCTCCAAAAAAAAATATCTGTTTCTTTCTCCAATTCTACCTTGATGACTGCTCTCTCTCTCTCTCCCCCTCTCTCTCTCCAGTTCTGCCCTGAGTATTACTCTGCAGTTCTAAAATTACTAGCCCTTTATCCAGTTCCTGACCACTCCTCTGTCTACTTTTATCTAGATTAGTGTCTTCTCTCTCAAGCCTTACCTAGTTGTTTCTTACTCCATTTCTGTGTTTACCATTTGTCTCTGTAGTTCTGTCCAGAATATTTGTTGAATTCTAACTACCCCTTTCTAATTCTGCCTTACTACTAATTTCTCACCACTCGTGCACAGCATTCATTTTTCTTGAGTGTTATCTTGAATAGCTGTATTCTCTCTCCTCAGTGCGAAGACAATGGCTTGAATCACTTCAGAAGTCCACTGTGCGTGGAGTCACCTTTATTTTTGTTCCGGGACACGCAGGCGTCGATGGAAATGAAAGAGCTGACAGTTTGGCTGGATCCGCTATCACTACTGACGGTCGGCCTATGGATCATGCTGATATTATCAATGCCCTCAGAGAAATGGGAAGGATAGAGGACTTTGGTGGCAGGGAATCCACATCACTCGCCAGAATGGCAGACTTGGGAATTAAGATCGGCACAGCAAAAAACGAGACGCACACCGGACACGTCAGAAGACTTGTTAATCAACATAGAACTGGTACTATTAGCCATCGGACGTTGGGGTTCATACTGAGGGGAGGATCTGAGCACCTATGGACATGTCCGGAGTGCAATGATGATAACCCAACTAACTAACTAACTAACTAATTCTCTCTCCTGCACTGCCTGAATATATGTATTCTCCACCCAGTTCTGCCTTGAATATCTTATCATCTCTCCAGTTCTGCCTTGAATATCTTATCACCTCTCCAGTTCTGCTTTGAATATCTTATCATCTCTCCAGTTCTGCCTTGAATATCTGTATCATCTCTCCAATTCTGCCTTGAATATCTTATCATCTCTCCAGTTCTGCCTTGAATATCCTGTATCATCTCTCCAGTTCTGCCTTAAATATCTATCTGTATCATCTCTCCAGTTCTGCCTTGAATATCTATCTGTATCATCTCTCCAGTTCTGCCTTGAATATCTGTATCATCTCTCCAGTTCTGCCTTGAATATCTATCTGTATCATCTTTCCAGTTCTGCCTTGAATATCTATCTGTATCATCTCTCCAGTTCTGCCTTGAATATCTATCTGTATCATCTCTCCAGTTCTGTCTTAAATATCTATCTGTATCATCTCTCCAGTTCTACCTTGAATATCTTATCATCTCTCCAGTTCTGCCTTGAACATCTGTATCATCTCTCCAGTTCTGCCTTGAATATCTATCTGTATCATCTCTTCAGTTCTGCCTTGAATATCTATCTGTATCATCATTCCAGTTCTGCCTTGAATATCTATCTGTATCATCTCTCCAGTTCTGCCTTGAATATCTATATCATCTCTCCAGTTCTGCCTTGAATATCTTATCATCTCTCCAGTTCTGCTTTGAATATCTGTATCACCTCTCCAGTTCTGTCTTGAATATCTGCATTGTCTCTTCAGTTATGTCAAGACACAAGTAGCTTCGAGAAGACCAAACAGATGAAAAGGAAGCTCTCATGGTGTATGAACCAAATGTGATCGAGCATTCAACCAATCCAGTAACAAAACCATGCCCAACCACAACAAAGAAACATTTAGTCTCAGCCCCTAACATTCAATAATAAAGTGTTTTAAAACAAACCAAAAAGTGAAACCAAAAGAACAAGCTGTAAACATCACAAATGAGCACACGCCATTCTCAGCTTTGGTTCATTTCATTGTTAATTCCACCCAAAATGATTATCTCTATAACTTGTCATGCCTATGATGTTCTTTCATTTTCAGGTTCCTCTTTCCTTCTGACCTCCCTGATTTCCATCTGCCTGTTGTTATCTTTGGACAGTGTTTTGTACATTGTCAGTGCCTAAGATAAAAGGGGAAAAAAGATGTAGTCATACAAAAAGAAGAACACAAGTTGTATTCATACATATAACAAGAACACAAGGTGCACTCATATATAAAAAAGAACACAAGTTGTATTCATATTAAAACAAGAACACAAGGTGTACTCATATATAAAAACAAGAACATACGTTGTACTCATAAATAAAAAAGGAACATTAGTTTTACTCATAAACAAAACCAAAACCCAAGTTGTATTCATATATATAAAAAGAACCCAAGTTGTATTCATATACATAAAAAGAACCCGTTGTATTCTTATATAAAACAAGAACACATGTATTCATATATATTACAAAAACACAAGCTGTACTCATACACATAACAAGAAGACAATCAATATTTTAGAAAATAATATTTTACACACACAAGATGTTTCACAATAAAGACACACAAGTTGTTTCATAATAAAGACACACACAAGATGTTTCACAATAAAGACACACACAAGATGTTTCACAATAAAGACACACAAGATGTTTCACAATAAAGACACACACAAGATGTTTCACATTAAAGACACACACAAGATGTTTCAGAATAAAGACACACAAGATGTTTCACAATAGACACACACAAGATGTTTCAGAATTAAGACACACACAAGATGTTTCAGAATAAAGACACACAAAAGATGTTTCACAATAAAGACACACACAAGATGTTTCACAATAAAGACACAAACAAGATGTTTCACAATAAAGACACACAAAAAATGTTTCACAATAAAGATACACACAAGATGTTTCACAATAAAGACACACACAAGATGTTTCACAATAAAGACACACACAAGTTGTTTCACAATAAAGACACACACAAGATGTTTCACAATAAAGACACACAAAAGATGTTTCACAATAAAGACACACACAAGATGTTTCACAATAAAGACACACACAAGATGTTTCACAATAAAGACACACAAAAAATGTTTCACAATAAAGATACACACAAGATGTTTCACAATAAAGACACACACAAGATGTTTCACAATAAAGACACACACAAGTTGTTTCACAATAAAGACACACACAAGATGTTTCACAATAAAGACACACACAAGATGTTTCACAATAAAGGCACACACAAGATGTTTCACAATAAAGGCACACACAAGATGTTTCAGACAGAAGAAAAAAAAAAGAATCCCTATAATTAGTTCTCTCTCTCTCTCTCTCTCTCAGATACACACACAAATGCACCAACACCAAAATATGCCTGCACACACACACACATTCAAGTAACTTAACTTATTCACACATATACGCAGTACAACATACAACCAACTATCCTGAGTGAAGCATACAATATCACAATGCAACATGTGACTATGAAGCTCAACTAACAGGAACGAAAATACACATATAGACACATCTAAACGAATTCAATCAGTTTTATCAACAAAAACAAAAAGTTCAGAATTCCTATTTTGAATGCGGAAAAAAATCACAAAGGAGAAAGAAACTGAATATAAATGGAAACAAAACAAAAAAATTAACAGGAACATGGAGGTGTGTTAAAGAGTGTAATCTGAACCAAAAAAATGGTAAAGGGGCAAAAATAATGAATAAATAAACAATTATGATTAAACTGACTATACAAAATTAAACAATATGGAATTCTGACCCCTGATGGGTTGAGGGAAACAGCAAACACACAAATGGGATGAATTCAAAAGGGGTGAAGAAATAAGAGAACTATTTGGGTAACCACTGGTAATAGCAGTTAAAAGACAAAGAAGCTGGTGGTACACGGATACACATCATGAGAAGAAACGAGCACAGAATCACCAAGCAGGCACTAAAAAGGGAAATAAAAGGACTGAAGGACATCCAACAGAAACCATAAAACTAACATTGATGAGAGTTGCCAAGAGTACTGGACAAATCCATCTAAAATTTCTAAATAGCTGCACAAGACACAGCAGAATGTTGAATTAAGAATCAACATCACAGCACTTGGGACACCCCCATAACCACTCTGTCCCCATCTTCAATAGCAAGCGAAGAGTTAAAGTTCCTATGGTACCAGTAACTGTCTGATTGTATATTCGTTTAGCCTTTCTACTGAGCAAACAGTATCGGCCAGATCCCCTTGTAACTTGCAATGGGGGATATTTTCACCCAGTTTAGGATGGTTGGGGGGAAGGCCCAAAGCTGACCTAAAACACCGAGATAGTCCGGATACTCGGATTAAACGAGAATCTTGAGATAGGTGATGACCGCTAGTTATCACGGGTAGCACGGGAACGCGACCCAAGGTCGCCACGTGAAAAGTTAAGGACCACCACGTGTTATCACGTGAAACTAACCCGTGGTATAAGTCAGACTTGACTCTGGTCAAGTTTAGTTTGTGTCGACCTGTTGGAGTGAGAGGACGTGCGACTGAAAGGGAGAATGTCAACGTGAGAGTGCTTGTGGAGAAAGGAGACCCTGCCGATGAAGTGTGAAGCCTAGATCGACCATGCCAGTGTGTGAGATAGCCAGAACCTCAACGTGAATCCATGGGAGCCGACTTTGGTCAGTGAATGCTTGAAGAAGACTGTTCGTTGAAGGCTGCGTGAGTTTGGGTACGAGAGCTGTTTACTAGGACACCGACAGGACATTCTTGTAAGTGTAAATACGTCAATAAACTCATGTCTTGTAAGCTCACATTGGAGTCGGCTTGTGCCAGTTGTGTAACGTGGAGCGTGTGAGAAGATCATCCACCACACACGCATGAACACTGCCTAGACAACGAGAAGAAACACACACCACTTATTACATAACTCCTTGCAGTGCCATTCTTCTCAGACCGTAATGATCTATCTTTTCCTCGGCACTGTTCCATCGCTCCCAAAAGGCCCTCACAACATCCAGCTTGCCCTTCACCCCTTAACAACTAAGTGGTGCAGAACCAGCCAGTCTATCTGCCTGCTCATTTCCCAACACGCCGGTATGACCTGGAGAAAATAACCATTGGATGCTAACAACCCGGGACCTTTGAAGTGATGCTTACCACTCTGCACGAAGCATGCCTGTCTCCACCTTTCTCAACTTGCTCTGTGAGTCACTTACAATGATGGCATGCATGTGTGTACAGCTGATTCGAAAGCCAGCGGAAGGCAGCAGTGACTGCCTCCACCTCCATTCTCAAACTAGACGTTGTAATATCATATGCCAGGCTGTGTTGCACCAAGCAACGTACAGCAGAATGAAGGAACAGACTGTGAGTCCTATGTGACACATAATGGCACAACAGGCAATAATGATGAGCTGTGAATGTCTAAACAATGGATGAAGAGATTTTCCAAACGTCAAATGTGGCAACTGACCTGAGTGACCATGTTAGCGATACTGACCTGAGTGACCATGTTAGCAATACTGACCTGAGTGACCATGCTAGCGATATCTCCAGAGTTGGCAGGCAGCACTACTGTGTTGGATTCCTTGGCCAGGTTGCCGAAGGCATGGACGTACTGCTCAGCAATGTTCATGGATACAGCATTCATACCATTCTACAAACAATAACATGATAACATCAACAATTATTAAATATTAAAGCCAGCTTTCTACTTGTTTATAAATGTCTTCTTCCTCTTCTTCATGCTCAGCGGCTGTAAACCCTAGATCTGAGTTTTGGCTGTTATCAACCTCTAGACTTAAGTCTTGTTCCAGAACCTGAGTTACAGATTTGAATTTTTTGCATGCAGACTATTGGTTCCTTGCCTCTCAGGCAAACACACTTTGACTTTGAATGAAGTCCCCAATTATTTGACTCTAATGACATGCTTGTTAAGAAGGCAGTGGGTCTATTCTTGTTCTTCCCACTATTGGGGTCCAAAACCCACAAAGAGAGTTAAAAATGTCAACATTATTCTTAACTCTTTTAGTACCAGAAGACGGATTCACAGGAGACGCCAGTAAAGAAATATCCATGCCTAAAATTCATCAGTGCATTACTTTCAAAACAGTAATATAACAATAGCAGTGATCACTGGATAAGCCAGATTTTTCTATTGTGTTCTAAACAATTACAAAATATTGCTCAAAAGTGGTTAAAATGGCACATCTAACCTGCCAGCTTAAAATGCTTTCAAGTACAAATTGCACAATAAAACTATCCAGCTAGAAAAAAAATTGGAATTATTTTTATGTCAGCAGTGCTCACACTGCTTAAATGCAAGCGACACCACTGGATGAATGGAGATACAAATCAGCAGTAGATGTGGCGAGAGCTGATAGAGAGATATGATACTGGATGATCTAAGAATGAAGGAATATCAACAATATAACTGATAGCTTGGACCATTTTCTTGGTGTTCCAGAAACGCGCCAGCGGGCCTGAAAGTTGAGTCCGCGTTCTGTCCGATTTGTTTCATAATTAAATTACCTTGGCTCCCAAGCAAAAATGGGTGCCAGATAAAGTCCTGTGAAGCAAAGGTGGCCGGTATGATGCTGACCATGTCACCCACCAATGGTGGATTAGCCTATAAAATAGAAGTCTAAAGCTATATACCCTATATGCCTATGGGTGTGGAAAAAGGGTTCTTTTACCCTTTGCTTTTTTTTTTTTTTTTTTTTAAATAACATTTTTTTCTCGCTGGCAAAGATGATGGCAGAAGTGAAATAAAATCAAAAAAGAAATAGGAATTTTCTTCGTCTTCATTTTTCGCATCACCAGCTGTAAACACTGGCGGAAACTTCTGGTTGTTCATCCACTTCTGGGTTTGAGTCTTGCTCTAGAATCTGAAATTTGTGAGCCCTTCCATTTTACAGATCTGTTGTTTTTTTTTAAGCAGACTGTTGGTTTCTTGCCTCTCAGGCAGATGCACTTCCACTTTCAAGGGAAACATCCCTAATTAGACGACTCCTATGACATGCTTGCTATGGGCAATAAAGTCTATTCTTTTTTGCATCCACAACTGGACCTCGGAAGCCACATAGGGAACAGAAAAGAAACAATAATAGAAATATTTTCAATACTGTGAGCCATGAAACATGAACTTTTATAGACATAAAGAGTAAAGGAGATTACAAATTCTAAAGTATTAAAAATTTTAAAGAATATGGCAAGGTGCAGAAGTCTGAACACTGAAAAATCAATAAATGAAGTGAGGCCTGGGAGATGTGAGCAGACAAAACAATATGTTTTATAGAAACAGAATTGAAACAATCAACCAATGTCATTGACGAGAGTATAAAAATGAAGACAGACAAGTTAAATGTGTCAGCGACATTAAAAGACATGACCGCCATACTGTCTGTATTTACCTATTCTGCGGGGGAGGGGGGGAGGGTTAGCCTGAGGATTTAGGGCCACATGACTGGTGTTGTCAACATGGACTGTGCAGTTAAGAAATTTAATTTTGTCCCCGACAGAAAAGAATCTACAACCTTACTGAGGATTTGAACCTGGGTCTCCTGCAGGAAAGCCCAGTGTTCTTAACCGTTCCACCAACCACTAGAAAGACATGACACTGTCATAAAACTCCTACTGGAAAGGTGGAAAGGGAACAAAGTTAAGTCAGATGCGCAAGAGACTGACAGTATTACAAAAGATAATATTTTAAAAGATAGACAAACAGCACTATTTTAGAGTGTACAATGAGAATAAGAGATAGTCGATAATCGATCTTCAACTCATTCTATCATAGAATGAGTTGAAGATCGATTATAATTTACCATCAATATAGAAACTGCAGCTGACTGTTTGAAGATTCTTTTTCAATCCGGGAATTTGTTAAGCACATAGGGCTGCAAAATTGGCTAAAGAAAGAGACTTTCATGTGTGCCCTCTACAAGGGTGATATTCTGTAAAGAACCTGCTAACTAATGATAATGAGTCTTTCAAAGTCAAACCATGGTGTGATGTGCCATCTGTTATCTAGCTGTGAATATGAAGAAATATGGCAAGTGAAAAAGAAACTCACCTCTTTCTGTAAAGCCTCTGCAATCATTTCAATAGTTAATGCCCGAGCTTTAGCTTTGGCAAGCAGTGCCTGAGCCTCACCTGTAAACGGAGAAACAAACCGCTAGAAAGCAAGTCCTGACATTTAACAGATCTTCTTTCTTCTTCGCGTCTGCCAACTCCGGTGGACAATTCCAATTGTTCATCCACTTCTAGTTCTGTTCTAGAACCTGAATGTTGCATGCATATCCATTTTATAAATCTGACTCATTTGTATGTAGACTGTTCGTTCTTTGTCTCTCAAGCAGATACACTCCTAATTCAAAGGAAGTCCCTAATTAGATGACTCTTATGACATGCTTCCAGTTAGGCAGTGGGTCTATTCTTGTTTTCCCCCACAGTGGGGCCATGGAATCCACTCGCGGAATTTAACAGATAATGACAACATGTTTCAGATATTTCCATAAGTCACTCGCACAAGTAGAAACTAATGTTAAACGATGTAGAGAATGACAGGTGTTAGACATTGTAATTAGTAGATTGTTGATGTCATAGCCAGAAGGGCGTCGAAAAGAAAAAGATGTCTGCAACTACTGGCAGGGGTGTGTGTGCGCCCGGGGCTGTCAGGAAAGTATCCTGTTTTGTGCAGGAGGATTCAAACCTAGGTCTTTCGAATGAAAGCCTAGTGTTTTTGATGTTCTTAATTGCTCAGCTTTTCACTTATTTTATTACAACAATGAAAACATTGAAAACAGTTTAATTTTTAAAAAATTATAAAATGCCAGACCCACCTTCAGCTTGATTGACTTGTTCGGCTTTGAAAGCTTCAGAATTCAAAATTCTAGACTTCTTCTTACCCTCAGCAACATTTATCTCTGCCTCTCGTATTCCTGAAAGTGAGGAAAACAGGGCTAATTGTGGAGGTTAACTAACAGAAAGCAAAGAATAGTGACACTGCACCCCACAAGGCATATCGTAAGAGGTGACTAAGGATAGGGTTGGGCTTGAGGTTAGCTACCTCATCCTGTAAAAATAATAGCCACAAAATCGAACCAACCATGGATAAGTCAAAAACAGAAGCAAGTATGGGAAGAGCTCCATGTAATAGCAAAGGATAGAACAACTTGGTGTGAGTTGGTTGAGGGCCTATGCTCCATTTGGGGACAGAAAGGCACATGTAGGTCTATTCTTTCCTCCTGAATAGAAGTCCCAGAACCCAGATGTTGAGAGTAGTGTTCTAAATTTTAGACATTTATACATCCAACAGCAAATATCCCCAACAGCAAATATCCCCAACAGAAAATATCCCCAACTGTCAAAATCTTCATGCTGATAATTTACCATTCAGCTCGTTGTTTAGTTTTTCCTTTAATGTTGTGCAAATCTCAAAAGAATGTTTTTGGTTTTCTTTTCCACTTTCCTGGGTGTTCTTTAAAACACTGAGGCTTCAAATTTGTTTTCTTATTTTCCAAGGACACCTAGTACAGTTTGAGTGGGTACAAGGTGCGGTCCTGGGAAGTAAAGGCTCCTGGTGTGATGTTGAACACATCACCCACCAAGTGCCGATTGGTCTATGAAAATATAGGTCTAGCCCTATATGCCCACAGGCGTGGAAAAGGGACCTTTACTTCACTTTTACCTAGTGATGTAGAGATCTGTGGCTTAGGCATTGCTAAATGTGCTTCATAATTCTGTGGGGTTGAATACAATCCCAGCTGCGATCGATGTGGCAGCAGACCACATTGTGTTGGTTTTTAGTGGTATTGAGAGCCATCTGTTCAGTCAGCAATGGCAAACTACTGAAGGTAAAACTGCCTAGTGAAATCCCAAACAGTCCCCAAAAAATGTTGGGGCTGTTTCAACAATGCCCTATAAGGAACACACAAATAACTTAATCTAGTAGTACTGCTGCAGATGATATAGCAGTTCTGTTCATAAAACTCTGCTGCTTGAAAGCAGCACAGAGTAACATACTGTCCACCTTTACTTCCCAAGGAAAATGTAACTTGTTTACAATATCTTCAGGTTGTAAATAAATAAACAACAGATACCCGCAATGACGCCACGTTGTAAAGCTAGAAATATTTAATTTATAAAGCTGACCTTCAGATTCCAAAATAGCAGCTCGCTTCTTTCTTTCAGCTTCCACCTGCATCTGCATGGCTTCTTGGACTTTGGAGGGCAGCTTCATGTCACCTGAATGGGATCACAGAACAATAACTATATCTCATAGCTTCATGTCACCTGAATGGGATCACAGAACAATAACTATATCTCACAGCTTCATGTCACCTGAATGGGATCACAGAACAATAACTATATCTCACAGCTTCATGTCACCTGAATGGGATCACAGAACAATAACTATATCTCACAGCTTCATGTCACCTGAATGGGATCACAGAACAATAACTATATCTCACAGCTTCATGTCCCCTGAATGGGATCACAGAACAATAACTATATCTCACAGCTTCATGTCACTTGAATGGGATCACAGAACAATAACTATACCTCACAGCTTCATGTCACTTGAATGGGATCACAGAACAATAACTATATCTCACAGCTTCATGTCACCTGAATGGGATCACAGAACAATAACTATACCTCACAGCTTCATGTGATCACAGAACAATAGCTATACCTGACAGCTTCATGTGATCACAGAACAATAACTATACCTCACAGCTTCATGTAATCACAGAACAATAACTATACCTCACAGCTTCATGTAATCACAGAACAATAACTATACCTCACAGCTTCATGTGATCACAGAACAATAACTATACCTCACAGCTTCATGTGATCACAGAACAATAACTATACCTCACAGCTTCATGTGATCACAGAACAATAGCTATACCTCACAGCTTCATGTGATCACAGAACAATAGCTATACCTCACAGCTTCATGTGATCACAGAACAATAACTATACCTCACAGGTTCATGTAATCACAGAACAATAGCTATACCTCACAGCTTCATGTGATCACAGAACAATAACTATACCTCACAGCTTCATGTAATCACAGAACAATAACTATACCTCACAGCTTCATGTAATCACAGAACAATAACTATACCTCACAGCTGGTTATGGCCAATGTATACAGAGACAGCGGAACTGTTAGGCAAATGTGCGGCTGCCTTGCAAAAACTAAATAACCCATTTCCACACCTTAGGGTGTATCTGGTATAGCGTGGTAGCCCCATATTTGTGTAGGTTTACTAAAATTTACAGATAATGTGGTCAATAACATGCTGGTTGACTTTATCTCCCAAATTACTTCCTGGTTCCCATTTCAGACTGTGTTGCCTTTTTTTTGAAAGAGAGTTACTGGATGAAAGGGTTAAAATAGACTAAAACATTCTCTATCCCAGACGTCTTCAAGGTTACCTTACAAGGGATATAATAATTAATTTACTAATAACCACCCGGAGTATCAACTTAAACACATATCCAGCAAGCATATGATGCCCAGAAAGTTCCGCTGCAACTAAGCTGCAGTTTTAGACTTTAAAAAAAAATACAAATTAAACAAAAGTAATTTAAAGAATGTAGGAAAGAGGGTGCCAGAGTCTCATGTCTAACATCTATATGAGGAGGGCTAATGACAACAAGTTTCAATAAAGATCTATTAAAACTGTTGCATAGTAAAGAAAAAAGCTAAACAATTAATACTTACGAATTTCATATCTCATACAGTTGATGCCCCAAGCGTGTGATGCATGATTGATAGCGTCTAGGGAAGGTGAAGATCATTCATTAATTAATCTTATATCCAGCATAGAAAAACTAGGAGTAATGTCTAAAGATTGATCGTTTATCTGCTATTACAATATACGTATAAATAATGCGGACATAAACAATACACTGCACAATTTATTGCCTAGCATATTTTGCTGTATCTCGTCAGGTGCATTAGGTGCAGTATAATTGACCCCCCGTGTGGGTTCTGGGGACCCATTGTGGGGAAAACAAGAATAGACCCATGCCTCCCCAAAAGCATGTCGTAAGAGTTGACTAATTGGGGAGCTTCCTTTGAAGTCGGAGTGCATCTGCCGGAGAGGCAAGGAACCAACAGTCTGTATTCAGTTCAGGAGAATGAGATCTGTAAAACTGATGCACACGCAACACTCAGGTTCTGAAGCAGGACTGCAGTTCAATAGTGGATGAGCAACCAGAACTTTCCGCCAGAGTGTACAGCTGGTGAACGCGAAGAAGAAGAAGTAGTATAAGTGACCGATGACATATATATATATATATATATATATATATATATATATCTGCTATATCAAACATAGCTGAAAGATTTCATTCTTCTTTATCTGTTTCTATTTTGCACTGTTGTTGGCATTTTTCCCATAGAAAAGTGTTATACAGTGCTAAAATGAGATATGCATTTTATAGAATGAAGAACATATTATGCAACAGATCTCTGTCATTGAAGTTTAGAAAAAAAAATCTTGCCTGCTATATACATCCAGTTTTAACATATGGCTGTGAGTCCTCGACAATCGGTAGGCAGGCCAAACAATTTCTTGAGGCCTCAGAGATGTGGTTTTACAGAAGAATGCTTAAAATACCTTGGACAGCCAAAAAGAGCAACCCATCATTTTTCGACCATGTTATGAGGAGGGAAAATGGAACATGTTGTGACCACTGGAAAGATTGTGGATGGAAGGATTAAGGAAGACAACGAGAGATGATTCTTGACAGTCTTGTTGCATGGCCTGGAGGTGTGTCGGCACACGAACTGATACACGCTGCTGGAGATCGTGGATTGTGGAGAGGCATGATCACCCACACCAGTCGGCAAAGCACCTGATGATGATGACGAAAGGGAGATATAGGATCCCATAACTATGACAAGTGTGACTAGCACGATACAAGTCACAACCTTTTAAGACCAGAAATGAAGTCTTCCTCTCCATAGCAGAAAGACTGGATAATAACTGTAGTGACCATGTGCTGCCCCATGCAGCATGATTCCTTTCTTGTCCAGCCTTGTTTACTCAAAAGGAAAGGTAACATTAGTATGTTTGGAACGAAATTAGCTGCAAAAGCAACTAGGTCAGAAGAGCATTTACTCTGTCTACATGTCACTACTTGTCTCCATAGCAGAAAGCGTGGGTAATAACTGTAGTGACCATGTGCTGCCCCATGCAGCATGATTCCTTTCTCATCCAGCCTTGTTTACTCCAAAGGAAAGGTAACATTAACATGTTTGGAATACAGTAAGCTGCAGAAGCATCTAGATCAAAAGAGCATTTACTCTATCTGCCTATGTGAAACTGCTTGCCTCCTAAACCAGCTTTGCAGTGTCCGGCTATACACCTCTGATAAGCAACTCATTCAATCTGGTATTTCTGACTAAAGATCAATTTGACATCCTGTACTGGTAGCCGCAAGCTGAGCTCACTGTTTAGCTGCAGATCAATCTGAGTGTCTAGTAAAATTGTTAAACACAAATGGTTCAACATTTTTTTTTCACTTTCAGGCTGCCCATTGTGAGACAAATTGGTGATAAAAACTGTCAAATTTTCTCTGTTAATTAATGTATGATAAAATAAAGTATGTGCTGCTTATTAATAAATTCTCACAAGCTGTTAATGCTTTTTACATCCATCTCCCCCTACCTTCCTCTGCGACTCCTGCTCAGAACGGTCGTGGCATTTGACTCATTTCTCTAAATGAGCCCTGGAAATCGTTGCCGGGTTACAATCTTCTTGCAACACTCTTAGCAGAAAGTTAGCCATTCCGCAGAGACAGAACAGCGCATATGGAATCAAACCTGGGGCAATGAAGTCAACCGTTTCAACTTTAACCTGTCTCTTACTGTAAATTTGGCCAGTTCTAATTTCTCTACGTCGCTTCACTCACTGCTTAAAACGTATGAAAATAAATCATCTACGTACGCACTATTGCCGTGTTGAGAGATTCCCTTTCCCTGAAAACAGTATCCAGTGCAATTCTACCAATCTCTGACCTCATAGTGGTCTGTGCCAGCTGGGTTATGGCGTACTCTGGGTCTTCTACCCCGTATGAGGCCTGGAATAAATATGGAGAGAAACAATGACAAGGAAACAAAGAAACTTGAACATACTAGCACAAATATCAAGTTTAAAGAAAAAAAATATTTTAAAGTTTTTTTAAAAAGTAAAGGACCCTTTTCCATGCCTTTATGCATATGGGGCATATAGGGCTAGACCCATATTTTATAGACCAATCCGCACAAGATGGATGATGTGATCAGCATCATGTCGGCCGCCTTTGCTTAACGGTACTGCACTCGGTACCCACTCAAAGCTGGGTTCACATATGAACAAAGGTAATTTTTTTTATTTAAGTCAGGCTCCATTAGGGAGCGAACCCACGACCTTCTGGTCCGCAAGCAAGCATCTAGCCGTTTCGCCACAGCAACTCCTCCCCCAAAAAATATACATATATAAAAAAGTAGTAAAGGTCCTTTTATACGCCAGTGGGGGCATGGGGGCATATAAGGCCAGACTTATATTTTCATAAACCAATCAACTCTTGATGGATGAGTTGAGTCAAGAATTGACATCACAGCACTCGGGGCATTCCCATGTGTTTACTCCGTCCTCAACTTCAGCAGCCAGCGCAGAGTTTCAGCAGCCAGCGCAGAGTTTCAACGCAGAGACAGTACTGGTCACCATCTGGTTGTATGTCCATCTTGCCTTTCCTCTGAGTGTACTCAGCCGGCCAGACCCTCTGATTACACCCAGATGCCTCATTCTCTCCAGGCCATAATAATACCTCGATGGGTAATGTGGATCACCTATGCTTCCCAGGACTTTAAGGCTGGGTCCATTTGGGAGCTAAGGTTTCATTTTGAAATAAATCTGGTCTATGCTGATTTAAAGCCATGACTATCATAATCTGTAGGTGAGCCTCTAGCCGCTACACCACAGCAGCTTCCCTAAATATCCAGTACTGAAAAGAGAAGGCTTTACATATCCCAACTATAACCAACATGAGTTGAACCGGACATCCTTAATTAAAAGAATACTACACATCAGCAATGAAAAAAAAATGACTAAATGGAAGGGGGTCGAAGGTAGCACGTCTGTAGATGACTTCAACTTACCTGCTATGATTCGTCAAAAGGAAATTAATTTTCAAGAGATCCTGTGTGGATGTTAAATAATCTTTCAGCAGTTGCAAACTTAAAACAGAAGGCCAAATAAACTGAAGCTGCGGCAACATTTGAAAACCTGTGCACAACAATGTGTTTTTACGGTATTCAGGATTTTAGTATATGTTAGTTAGTTAGTTGCGTATCCTTAACAGAACGTTGCAGAACCAACCCCATAATTTTTTGGCTGTGTGGATTTTCTAAGCAAATTTACGTCCAGTAGTTTTTTTTAGTATATATTCATCTGAATTCCTTGACATGTTCTCTTCTTCAAAACTTTTCCTTTCCCTGCCAATCTTTTAAAAAAAAGTAATGCAGGCATCTTCTGCAGGCAAAAATGTTGCAAGCCAGGTTCACAACCAGCAAAATTGACTGTTTGGGAAAGTTGCAACTAGGACAATGAAACCAGACCACTGTATTTGTAAACTCACTTTAAATGGTCTAATTATCAAGTCAACCTACTTTATAAGGGTCAATAACTCTCAAATACAGGACAGCATCCAATGTGAGTGTGACATTATCTGAAACGAGCATTAAAAAAATAAGTTAAATAACTTACAAACAGGGTTTCAAGAGGTAAGAAATAAATTTTGAAGATAAAAGTAGTGAATGTTTAGTCTAAACTGTCATCATCTGCTGTTACTTTTGTAGACACAACTATTGTTTATCTATCCTGCCACCATCTACTATCACAAACAATTATTGTATGTCTATCCTGCCATCCAGCTACTGCTTGTAATAAAATAAAAGCGATGCTAGAGTGCAAACAGATTACATAATCAAGAAACAACAGTCCTAGAGATTTCATAACCAACAAATTAGATTTATTGCAGCAGCTCAATAATACAGTGAGCTGTGATACAGCAGCTCATGACAAACTGACTAAATTGAGCACTGACTTTTTTCAATAAATATTTCATAAGGATATGGTGACCTGACCAACAAGTTAATATTCCCAGCCACCAACATGTATCTTCAGTTGTACAGACTGCAATATACAAATTATGTTGTCTGACTTTAATTATCATCACCTTTCCAATTTTCCCCAGGGATTCTACAGAACCAAATGCTCTAACATATCTCTCCAGGATTTCCAGGGTTTTCAAGAATCAAAACAGTTTTTGTAGTATTTATAAGTCAAAGCTACCCCGAGAATGTTCCTTAGCATAATCTACAAACATTCTAAAATACATGTATTACAACAAAGGTAATCAACCAGTACAAGTCTTTACACCCCTCTGGTTTTTGAATCTACAAAGAGGAAGAAAGTAACAGTTTTCAAGCAGATGGTACTTTGGCAATGGTCATAAATCTTAGGACTTTGATACTGGATCAGAAGAAGTCTTGGTACTTTGATTCTGGGTCAGGAGAAGTCTTGGTACTTTGATACTGGGTCAGTAGGAGTCTCGCTACTTTGATACTGGGTCAGGAGAAGTCTTGGTACTTTGATACTGGGTCAGGGAAAAGTCTTGGTACTTTGATAATGGGTCATGAGGAGTCCTGGTACTTTGATACTGGGTTAGGAGAAGTCTTGGTACTTTGATACTGGGTCAGGGAACAGTCTTGGTACTTTGATAATGGGTCATGAGGAGTCCTGGTACTTTGATACTGGGTTAGGAGAAGTCTTGGTACTTTGACACTAGGTAAGGAGGTCTTGGTACTTTGATAATGGGTCAGGAGAAGTCTTGGTACTTTGGTAATGGGTCAGGAGAAGTACTGGTACTTTGATACTGGGTTATAAGTCTTGGCACTTTGGTAATGGGTCAGGAGAAGTCTTGGTAATTTGATACTGGGTCAGGAGAAGTACTGGTACTTTGATACTGGGTCAGGAGAAGTACTGGTACTTTGATACTGGGTTAGAAGTCTTGGCACTTTGGTAATGGGTCAGGAGAAGTACTGGTAATTTGATACTGGGTCAGGAGAATTACTGGTACTTTGATACTGGGTCAGGAGAATTACTGGTACTTTGATACTGGGACTCTGGACCAATATTTCTCCACTGTATTCAACAATTTTCAGGGGTGACCTGTGATGACCTGAATACCACTGTACCAGTATTTAGAGCTGGAAATCACGGTCGTACGGGGATTCACAAATAATCAATCAACCATCCCAAGTAACTGGCCACCCAAGCGAGCAGGCAACAAATCAATGGAGGTGTCCTTGTGTTTAGTTTAAGTGGTTTTTTGCAAATCTATTTAGCAGCAGAATGGACAATTCTGCGGCACAAACATGAAACTATACACACAGATGGTCATTACCGAGAGTGATAGCTGCTTGGTGTGGGACATCAATGGCAATCTCTTTTAAACTTTGGACATATTTGATCGTGTCTATGACTGGCAGGATGAAGTTCAAGCCCTAAGAATACAATAAATTATTTCAGAACATCAGAGCTGGTTTAAAATACCAATTTATTAGGTTTAGGTTTAAACAACGGATCAACATCATGGCACAAGGGTAATAACCCCTTAACCCATAAGTGCTCCGTTCTACTTCTAACTCAAGTCTGAGTCCAAAGAATCTCAGGACAGTGCACGAACTCTGTATCACCAGCAAGGATCCTGAAATACTTTTGGTAGATTTTTAACTCCAAATTTTGCTCGGGCAGCACCGTGAGGCTACTCTGTTCGATTTCCAACTGCCAAGGGATTTTTAATGTACACAGCAATACACACGGGCGTTCGATCTTACTACCCAGAGACCAGGGTAATTACCAGAAGTCCATGTGAAAAGATCCCAGCCTTCACCGGGGCCTGAACCCAGGACCTACGGCACTCGAGGCGAACGCCATGCCAGGAGACTATGCAGCCCCCAAATACCAATATCCAAGTGCTGCAAGAGATTAATTTGCAATTAACCCCAATTTTCTTTTCATTACACACACACACACAAAAAAAAGATATGTAAAATAGGAAAATGGTATGTTTTAGGCGGACAGTAGTTAACACAAGCAAAAAGTTTGGCACAAATTAACATCATGACAATTTGTCATAAAGGTGTATGTTCATATGAGAAAAGAAATAAACAGTACATATTTCTACTTTGTCTTAGGCTGGTGGATGTAAGTGTTGTATCTTGTAAGGACAGTGTTGACTTATGCTGATTTTACAGACTTCTAAAGAGTCTGACAACCATGCTGTTTCAAACGACTATAAAACAGATATTTCTTAGCTGCCTATGGTACAAAGCTGTAGCACATGCTTCACAACTTGAGGTACACGCCTAGCATGACCCTGGAACATGCTATCCAAACTGCTGGTGACAGCAGAGCAACAAAACAACCTTCATCAACTCCGTTAGAAGAAAATCTGTATGGTAATAGGTGAAAAATAAGATTTGAAAACAAATACAAGTATGTTTATTTGACAGTATATAAAGAAGACTTCTTATCGAAACATGGGTGTCTGGTTTCCTTATTTTTCAGTTACATCACTTGACTTTCTGTTTTATATACATGTGTCAAGCAGTTTTTCAGGTTATCCATCACAGATTATTCACTATTAAAACATCAACAAAGCCAAAATTGGTCACCTACAGGGTCTAAAATTGCTTTGTATTTTCCAAATCTTTCAATAACCCAAGCCTCCTGCTGGGGCACAAACAGGATGACAGTGTTCATTGGCAGTCGAGACTTGTGACGGATACTTTGCTGGGCATGTTCGATGGATGCCTATAAATAAAACAGCAAATGACAGGAATAGGAAAATAAATAATAATTAAAATATGTATATGTTCATTTGAAATTTTAACGGTAAATGTAATTAAATTACTGGACATGTTAACTTATAAATAACCCGCATTATGCCATTATGCTGAGGACATCATCTTTACAGAATCAAGTCAAAAGGAACTAAAGAATTAGATGTATAACTGCAGCTGACATGCGAATTCATATAGACAACCCACCTGATGGTCTGACCTGAGCATACAAACCCAATCCCAAAGAAGAAGAAATTGTAGAAAGTGGATAAATGAGCCTAAGCTTGGAGACAGACATAAGGATAATATCACAGAAATGAATAATGCTTTGAGATAAACATTCAATGGTATTATTATTGATGCATCAAGTAGAGCAATTAGAATATTCAGGCACATGGAGGACATCAGAAGGAAGATGCATCAGACAGATAAGATAAAGGACTGCATTTCATACACAGAAGAACATTGAATGTAATAAATCCTTGACACTGTATTTCAGAAAATGAATCCTAGCATTTTACACAGAACCAATTTGAACATGCAGCTGTAAATCCTGGACACGTAATAAATAAACCAAAACATTTCTTGGAGGCTCATAGATGTTGTTTTACAAAAGAATGCTTGAAACTTTTTGGACAGGCATAATAAATAACCTACATGTTCTAAAGAGGCCAAAGAATGAAACTTTTCATAAAACATCACAAAGAGAAGTTCATTTTTTTGGGCTACTCAAGAAAAGAAACACTGAAGCAAGTTGCGGAAGGTTTATGAAAAAAGATAGAGAAAGAAATAAGATTTTCAACAGCTTTTTCTTATGGCACAGAAAGGGTCTCCTAGAAACCCAGCTTCCATCCTCTGTGAAGGATAAAGGCTTTTGTCTGTTGGGGCCCCAAAAAAAATGCTGACCTGCACAGCTTGTGGTTACTACACTAACCATATGGGCCTAAATCTATACGTCACGATCCCCCCCCCCCCTCATCCCTTGTACATCGACCCCTAAAAAAGTGGTAAACAAATATAGACAGTAAAGTAGTGTGCACTTTTTTTGTTTTTTAAAATATAAAAAGGTGTTAGCATAGGAAATAATTTATGCACCGCACACTTGCCGGGTATCTAGGGTTACTCAATGGTGTCTCACTTGCAGGTCGCAACTCAAAAGTAATAAAGGACTCCTGACACATATTGACTGTCCAAGTCAATTTAGTGTATTCGACATGACAAGATAGGAGTTTCACACTACTACAGTCATCCTTACTCCACTGCATACACATTTAAAATGCTCTGGAAGACTTCTACTGCCACGCTGTTTTGTGGTTGCTACGGGCAATCATTACCCGACTGCGCAAATCCACTGTTCATGATTAAGTGACTGCCTCTCGTATGATGCCTATCTCTTGGACATAAAATCACTAGAGAGAACAATCTTTTTCTTCTTTTGTCAAAATCTGCTTGTGCCGCTAGGCGTCGCAGTCTATTAGATAATCGGCAACCGAGCCAGGGCGCGCTCAGTCGCTCCATATGCCGTGATGTTATGAAGTCTCAAGTTGTCCGTGACTCCTTCAATCCATCTTCTTCTTGGTCTTCCCCTGCCTCTTGGTGTTTCGATTTTCATGTTGTATGCTCTTGATGCTGGCATCGTTGGTTCCATTCTCATTAGGTGACCAAACCATTTCATTCTTTGCTTCTCAATAAATTTAATGATGGGTATGGTTCCAATAGTTCTTGTAATCACATCGTTTCTCACTCGATCTCTTCTGGTTTTATTCGCAGCCATTCTCAAACATCTCACTTCACAGAGAGAGATCAATACCTTGTGGAAATTATCGAGAAACTCCGTCTGTGGCCTGCCATGTACTTTGAGATATCCTGTTCTCGCCTCACGAACCCTGTCACGCTGGACATTGCTACAGCCGAAAATCCTGGACGCTAAACTCCACCCCCCCCCCCATGCTTGACACATAGGTGTGCAGGTCTAGTCTGGCAACACCCAGAGTAAAATATAGATTCACGCATGTCACCCAAGTCCCCTGATCCCTCCCTACCGCCCTACAGCTAGCTGCGTACTTAATAATAACATCAGTTCTCAGGGGCTCTGACGATGCGTCCTTCCACTTCAACGTCATAGAGTCAACTGCCCCTCTGACTTCGTGGAGTGAACTGCCTCTGATATCAACAAACAGTTCATTACCTCCACGTGAGTTCTTCCACTCCTCATATGAAGACCATGGTTCACATATTTATGAACACCATACAGTTTCCTTCCATAGCACAACTAAACAGGTCCTTGACCCTATGATCTTGGCAAATGGGTCTGCGGTCAGATTTACATACTACCTAAATAAGTTTACATCTAAACTCCAAGGGACATGAGTGCATGGACTATACTTCTAAGGGACATAACCCTTTATATATCCATGTATTTCTCATAAAACATGGCACACAAAGAGTTAACTCCTGAACACGCAAACATTTACTGCAGTAGGTACCAATAGTTGGGGCCGACAGCCTGTCAATCATGAACAGTAATCAGCATCTGGGGCAACAAGAAAACGTTCATCAAATATGTATTATCATCTCCATGTGGGGGGGGGGGGGGGATAGACCTACTGCCTCCCTAACAAGTATGTCATTCATTAGAGCCAGCTAATTAGGGGTTGCCATCAAAGCCAAAAGTGCACCAGCCTGAGGGGCAAAGAACCAACAGTCTGCTTACAAATAAGCCAGATCTGTAAAATGGATGTGCATGGAAAATAAAAACATTACTAGTTAATGAATGTACACAATTTTTCTATTTCTAAACAAGAGGACTCTGGACTGGAGGCTGGAACAATTGCAACAAAAATATAAAGGGTCCAATGGGCACCAATCTGCCTTTGACAATGATGTTATCAACATCATGCTGGCCATCTTCACTTTTCATGGAATTTCCTAGTACCCATTTTTATACATAGCGATCTTCCTTATTTATTTTTTTATTAAATGCTTTTTTACTCAATGCAGATTCTAATTTTCTACGCTTGATAATGATGGAATACTCAGAATGCTCTAACTTTTCAAATACATTTTCTACCCGCTGTTATCAAGAAAGCCGACAGCCAAGTACTGAAACAATTAACACGGTTCAGTTTCGCATTCTGATGACTGATCCTGTAAACAGTAATGAGTAATGACAGTAATGTCAATGAAAATGTTGATCCAGTCAGTAACTAGTCAGTGACTGTACTGTAACACTTGACTTTGCGGCTTGATTGCTAGTGTTGTGACACTGCTACAACTTAGTACAACAATTCCTTTAGTTTAAATTGAATCAGCAATAAAACGGTCGAAAAACTTTACAAATACGCTAATTCTGCTCACCTTAAGAAGGCCAAGAGTTCGGCCACTGGTCACGGATCGCAACATTTTGAGGAGAGAAATGATTTGAAAAATTGCATAAGCTCGGACGGTCGTGGGGCTGAAACTGGGGGACAGATGTGGGACACAGCTCTAGCAGTTTGCGATTTACTTAGCCTAACTCTTCATCATCACGAGCCATGTCGATAAGGCCTGACTATAATTCTCATTCACACGAGATCACTTGAGTATTTGATGAGGTCTGTGTTCTTGTTAAGCACTTTTTTTTTCTTAGTAACCAAAACATCCAGGTATTTATCTATGTGTCCGCTCCTGTTGCTTTAGTATAATTTATTAGAGTTCGCTAGGTTTTTAGGTTTATAAAACATGCAGAAATGATCGTGATAATTAAGGACATTTTGTATGGTGTTCATTCATTGTACTCTGGGCATTGTCCCTAGAAACCACACCTCAAAATTTCAGCTGAAATTAAATGTTTCTCTGTTTCTCCGTTTCATCTACGATTTTCATGTACTGTTTTCATGTGCATACGAAATTATAGACCCTATACAGATCACACCACTTTTTCCCCTCATAGTATTTTGTGCTGTCTTCTCTGTGGAGGCGGACTGGAGTGGATATGTACACCCCCTGCTATGATTTGGGATATCGTTTTATTAACGTGCATTTTCTGTTTAGCAAAAAGGTTATTTTTGTCATGGTGTTCGTTGGTACCCCTCCCCCCCCCCCCCCCCGGTAGTATAGTAAGGTCACGTGGTACACGGTGTAGACTAGACAATCACATATTCTACCTCCTCCCCACGCATTTGTGTATGTTAAACACACATATGATTATGCCATTTGTTTAAATCCTAATATTGTAATGCTGAGAAAAACATCTCGTTCTCCAGCTGCAGGTTGATGAGGTCATGTCAAAAGTCATTTTGATATCAAATGGAAAGCGATGTTTGTTTCCACAGTTCTTTTCTGAAATTGTAAATAAAACGTTGTGTGGTGCCCCCCCCCCCCCCCCCCAATAAATTTGGTTGTTCTTGGGCAATTAGTCCCCCCCCCCCCCCATACCCACAAACCCACACTCGAGGTAGGGCATCTTCCTCGAGTGCTGAAGGTCTCGGGTTCGAGCCCCATTGAAGGCTGGGATTTGTTCATGTGAACTTCTAATAATTTCCCCTGGTCTCTGGGTAATAAGATCGGACGCCCGTGTGTACTGTTGCGCACAGAAAAAATACATTGGCAGCTGGAAATCGAAAAGAGAAGCCTAACGGCGCTGCCCGGGCAAGATTTTGAGTTAAAAATCTACCCAGAGTATTTCAGGATCCCCGCCGGTGCATCGGAGTTCGTGCACTACGCTGAGATTCTTCAGACTCAGGCTTGAGTTTGAAAACACACCAAAACCAACAACAACCACTTTCTTTATTTATAAAGTCCTTCTTTAACAAGGGTGGACCGTTTCATGACCACTGACATAACTGACGTCGTTCTTTGTTTCAGGAACACTTATTAGGTTCAGCATACAATCATCATCATGTAGCAGGTCCTTTGCAGAACGTCGCTCTCATCACGGTCTGCCTGAAAGAAACTCGGTCTTTCACCAGCTCTCCCGCTTCATGTACTTTA